CGTTTCTGGGATAGTTTCCAGCTGTACACTGAGGAGTGTGTCGCATAGTTCACTCCCATTGAATCTAGCAACAGAATTGTCCGCTAAATTCAGTCGATCGTGTTGCGTTTCTGTGAAGCCATTTTGCTCAAGCACTCAGACGCCGATCACAAGAAGGTCAACATCCACATTCCCCAGTGTCGTTGTTTTACAGGATAGGTTAGGTAGGTATTGAACAATTTAGCCACGTCTGTGGCTCAGTGTCGGGTAATTGTTGACAATGATTTTACTCTAGTAATAGCTGTCAATTTGGGTCATTCCAGTTTGTATCCACAACCCCTGCATGGATGGTTATACAAAAATGTACCCCTCGGATTAGTTTTTGATAACTCCTCCCTGGAAATATACAACGGTGTTTCAGCACCCCGGAAAACTTTTTTTTTCAATAACCCCCCTGGATGATCATTCCCCCAAATGTACCTCACAGTCCAAAATTTACCCCTCGGATTTAACATCTAACTGAATGAATCTAATACAGTGGCCCCTAAGGGATGCCCGGAACGGAAAAAAAGTTGCGAATATAAACTGCAATAACCTAACCCTTCAGAAGCCCATAGTAAAATCATCGCCCAGTGGAATTCATTTACGGTGACCCCTCCTCCCAGAACAGAAAAAGTACATTATTTTATACCCTCCGGAATTATACCATCCATATGGGGGTTGTAGATACAAACTGGAATGATCCTTAGCGTGTATATTTCAGAAACTAATAAATGGAGCTTTGTACACTGCTGACTAGAATATGGTTTCAATATGTAATCAGCAAGACACTTTTCCCATAAATTCCCATATACAGATAATTCACAAGATCGAGAGACGAATCTTGAACAGGAGATGTCAAATTATGTTGCGTGGCCTTCTTTGTATTAAAAAAATTGCTACCCCAGTACATCACCATGACAACAGCAATTTGTCTACTCCACAGATGCGAACAACTCTGTCGTGAAATGTGCGCAGAGGATGTATGCAACAATGAGAGGAGGTTATGGAATCAGTCGAAAAGTACTGAAACGTAAGTAATGACAAATTATGAATTATTTGCTTATGAACCATCTCAAATTTTAGTTCATTTCAGAATTTGGTCAACATTAGATATTGTTATAAATATCTGGTTTATATATTATCGTTGTAAACATTTTACACCTGTTCTTTACTCAAAATTTAGAGACTTCCTTCTTTTGACAAGAGACCCCCTTTATCGTGACAGAAAGGAGCAGACTCCCTCCCCAATTTTCAGTTTAAAAATGTGTAATTAATGTAAATTTTTTTTTATTGAGTTGTGTGGTGTGTATGATTTGGCATCCCCTGTCACATAATATGGTCTGTGATTGGGCATCCACTGTTACATGATGTGGTCTGTGATTGGGCATCCACTGTCACATGATGTGGTCTGTGATCGGGAATGCCCTGTCAAAGGATGTGATCTGTCATTGAGCGCCCCCGTCAAATGATGTAGTCTGTGATTGGACACCGCCTGACAGATGATGTGATTGGTCACCCCCTATTCTTGACTTTCGAGTTTCTAATGGCTGATCATTTGCGCAACCATTTCAAGGTTTGAACATCTGCGGGTGCACAGCGAGTCTGGGTTGTTTTTGAATGAATACATTTATAATATATTTTGAATAAGCTAATTAAAACATGCAGATAAACCAAATATTCATCCCTTAAAGGTGCCTAAAGATTGGTGACCGATTTCATAGATAAGGGTAGAATATGGTCCAGCATCTGAAAATTTGTTATCCAGTCTTTCAACATGAATTCTGATTCCAGCAATCCTTCTAACCTCCAGTATTTCGTTTTTCATGAAGTTGCTTCTACTTTCCTTAGTCATGCACGGATTTAAGGGGAGTCCCCCCCCCCCTCCTCGACAAAAATTGACAGATCAATTGGCATACCAACCCCACATCATGAAGAGAATCAATAGCAGTAGGCCCCCAGTACAAATAAATAATGTACCTCGTCCTCTCATTGGATACTTTTAATGACAGTGGCATATATGTTTGTCTACTAGTATTTAGGTAGAACTAGTCCAGAGAAGAGTTTGAAATGTTATACAGCTGCCATATAGGGAAGAAATGTAAATAGATCCAACAATTCAAGTCGTAAATGCATTCGTGTCAAATTTATATTCCTGATAGCGTTTTAGTTTGGGGCTAGAAAACCATTTCAAGAATCAATTCGTGCCACACTAAATCCTTGGTTTCACTTTTGGTGTTCATAGTTATAAAATTTCTCTCAGCTCCTGCAAGATCTCAATTTTCTCTCCTGTCAGTTTTGTCTGCGTGTTGCGAGTAACTTTTGAAAATGTACATGTACATTTACGAATTTCATTTTCTTTCGTTGGCTTATTATGATAATTTTGTGATAAGGTTCTTTTGATTGTACTGACAGAACACCCGGAGAATTGCGATACCATTTTATATGTCTGTAGGTTCAAATCAGGAAATATTACGCTTCCCAAACGATGATAATCAGGTGCATACAATGTTGTATTTATTCAATTTCAAAACCAAACACCACTCTAGTGGTGTTCTGGCAAAACCTGACAACTCAAAAGTCATGAATTGCATGATGTGGTGTGTCATTGGGCACCCACTGTCACATGATGTGGTTTCTGATTATTTTGTGAAAAAAATATATTGAGTTGATATACAAAATATAGCGAGTTACTGTTAATATTAAATAATTGTGTCTGGTATATTATAAAATGCTATGCTATGTGCAGAATAAAAAAAACACAGGAAAATATCTAAATATCAAATACTTAACACTCTAAGCACTTGTATTTCTGAGATCCCCTGGTTTCAGACCTGTACATTCAACTTTAAACTCATTCCCAACTTTAAACACAATTGTTTTCATTTTATTGATTTTATCGTCATCCTTCACATTACAATTTCAGCTATGGATGAAGGATTTAAGGACGTCACTATGGACGAATCGATGTACAAACTGGGATACGATGAAATTGATTCCCTTGCTCAGTAAGTATACATCTACAGAGTTACTGTTATGTTGGAAGCACATTCCCAATAGAGATAAAGCAAGTAAATACCACAGAATACAAAACAAAGTTTACCTGAACTGCAGCAGAGCTTTAACTGACACTGTTTCATCTAGCTACACTTCACAGCATGTGTTCTTCTCAACCACCAAACATCCTCCTAAAAAAAAACTTAACGTAAAAGTCCTAATATAAACCGCATACGTAATAGTAACCGCACCTCCAATTCCGGCTTCGGGGTTAAAGAGTTCTTGGCAAAAATTGAAAACATGAAAAGTACCTATTACTAACCGCACCCCCAATTCAACAAGACTGTGACTGACTTCATTGTTTCAACAAGCTAGTCCAAAACGGCATTGGCCTAATCCTATTCATTTGTTTCGACCACATGTCTAAAAAATATTCACATCTATTTATTGTTCGCTGGTGATGACTTGTCAGAATACATCCATGTTTTGAAAGTTTTTGACAATGAGCTGTTATCTCTATGAAAGTGTAACATGTGATTGAAATAATTCGCTTACAGTGAAGTCGAATTTTACTTGCATTTCATAAAAATTCAACAAATTTATTTATTAAATGTTATTATAGTAATTATTATAGTTACCAACAAAATTAACAAAATGTTTTTGATTGACCGTGATATTTTGTGACGTCTATTATAAAACCAAATTAAGGCTTTTAACTTTTCCCTGACATCTAAATTAGAGTGACGCCTATTCAAAATATTATACAATGTATTGTTTGTTTTGTGCATGTGTTGTGTGAAAAAAAAATAACCACGCCCATTTAGTGATTGCAATATGTACGTAATATAAACCGCACTACGAACTTAAGCTTTTGACCCCAAATTTTAAATTAATACATTGTAATATAAACTGCGGTTTTATTAGGACTTTTACAGTAATAAATATGGCATCTTCGTGAATTATTTGCTGCAGTTCCGAGGTAGTGGGTGTGTAAACTCACTTACTGAACTCAATGCATAAAAATTTGAAAACTGTTACACCAAAATATTGGTATGATAAACTTAATGGCATTCAAAAGGTTGTTACTATATATGTATTCTTGGGATTTTTAAGTGTACAATGATTTTCTTCAAAAACATTGAAATTTGCATTTTTACTCAGATTGGGCGATTTAACCTAGCTACATTAGCACGTAAAAATTATAAAGATAACAATTTTGGTACTTGTACATGTAATATATTTCTTCTCTAGAAAAAAATTTTGTTTTGATATTTACTGCTTCACTATTTACTGTTCATGATTTGTTTTGTTTACAGTGTCGATGAGAAAGTTAAACGTTTATTCACTTTAGAATATGCAACTAATGTGAGTATTTTATTTCAAAAAACACTTCAAATCCATTACATTTGTACTATGGTAAAGTGAGACTGATTCTCAAGTTTCATATTGTGACTTC